ATTTTGGTTTGCAAGTTGCTTCTCTTCCCCGAGTCTCACTTTCCTGTTGGTGAAATGGGTTGATCAGAATCCCTCCCTCGTGGGGTCACGAGGACTGAAAGTAAGACAAGGTAGAAGGGAGAGTGTGCTCGTGCAGTCCCTGGACACAAAGTTCTCGGCTCCTGGGGCATCTTGGGAGCGGCAGGGCCGGAGCAGAGGAGGCGAGGAGCCAGGAGGGCCCAAGCGTGCGGCCTGGGGAGAGGGACAACAGCACCAGGTGCGATGAATGATGCGAGTGACGGACACCCATGCTAGCAGGTGCTGGGGGCATGTCAGAAACACTTACTCGAGGGGCCAGTGTCCTTAGAGTTTTATATCTTTTCCACGTTTAATACCCACGATGACTCAGAAGGAAGTGTGCTGTGATCCTCATTTCACAGAGGGGGTACTAAAACCCAGAGAGGCCGAGACAGGTCTGAGGCCACCCAGCCAGGAGGGCAGGGCCGCATGCGACCTGGGCAGGAGGCTCTCCCGCACGCACACGTGTCCCGGCCGCACAGTGGTCAGTGCCTTTCTATCAGTAGGCTCTCACGGCTTCCGTCCTGCGTTTGACCAGTGTCTCTGTGTGCAAACAGGACTCTGATGGGAGCAAACCTGGGGCGCTGCAACAGCCGGATGAGTCATCAAAGAGGGAGACCTAGCCCCCGGTGGCAGGCTGGCGTCTTCACGGCAGAGACGGCCCAGGGCCCAGCCTCACCGTGATTGGCACCCCTGCCCCTGCACACGCCCATCTCTCTTTGGGGTGGGCGGTTAGACTGTCTTAGACGTCATTTGCTCCAGCCCCCACCCTGAATGGTGATGCTGCAGCAGCCTTCTTGAGAGAGAGAGAGAGAGAGACGGCCACTCGGCCTCTGCCTGGCCACGCTGACCGCCTTCACGCAGCCATCGCCCGTTCCGTTGTAAATGCTTCCACTGCCCTGCCCGACTCGCTGGCAAACTTTGAAATCCAAACTTCAAAGTGACAGAAGAACCCCATGGTGACGCAGGAGAGAGAAAAATCACACATTGATGGGCTTCCAACTTTTTTCCACTATTGTTTATTAATCTAATCTTTATTGCATTTTCCCATTTCCATTTGGTCCCCTCCCCCCTCAATCACCACACTGTTGTCCACGTCCATGAGTCCCTTTCCCTTTTTGCTCAGTCCCTCCATCCACTATTGTTTCAATGCCCTTTAGTGAGAGGAGCTACCCCACTGAGCGCATGAGGCCCGAGTTTGCCTCCCTGGCAGGGACACACAAGAGCCACAGTCACTGGGGCAAGCTGCTTCCTTCCCTTGGGTTTCAATAATCTCTTCTAGGAAATCAGGTGGTAATTATGTCAATTGTGGTAAAATACACATAACATCACACTTACAGCCTGAACTGTTTCTAGGCGTGTAGTTCGGTGGCATCGAGTACACGCACATGGCTGTGCAGCGTCCCCGCCATCCGTCTCCAGACCTTCTTTCTCCCTGCAGAGCTGACGCTCTGCCCCGGGAACACTGACCCCTGCCGTTCTCTCCCCCAGCCCCTGGCAACGCCCTGCCGCTTTCTGGCTCTCTGAGTTTGACCGTGCCAGGTGCCCCACAGAAGTGGCACCCTATGGGATTTGTCCGCTGGGGACTGGCTTATTTCACTTAGTGTGATGTCTGTCCTCAAAGTGCACATGCCAGAACTTCCTTCCTTTTCAAGGCTGAGTAATATCCCATCATATGGATAGACCACATTTTATTTATCCATCCACTGGAATGACGGTTTTTGAGGACAAGAGGCCATGTCCTGTTCTTGCTCCTGTGTCTTTCAGAATAACCCCAAGATATCATAGATAGTTTAGGTTCCCTCAGCATCATAAAAGGAGACGTGTGTCCTGAAACAGTGCAGCTTGTTCTAGGTACTTGAAAAGCCTTCCCCAGGCCCCGGTCTCATTTGACTCTCCATCTGCAGGGCCCGGTTCGCAGGAGGAGCGGTGGGGGCTGAGGGCATCAAATAGCCACCGGTCCTGGTGGCCCTTATTCTGGTTTGAGGTCACTGGATGTCCAGGCCAACCTGGGGTTGGTGTTGTTCAGAAGGTGCATTTGTTCTCCGGCCTTTTTCAGCTTCTACAGCCACTTACACTCCTTGGCTAGTGGCCCGCCCCTCCTCCATGTTCAAAGCAAGTAGTGTAGCATCTTCAAACCTCTCTCTCTCTCCCCCACCATCACATCTCCTTTTCCAATTCTGACCCTCCTGCCTCTCTCTCGGGGACCCTATAATTACATCGGACCACCCGGGTGGCCCAGGGTAATCTCTTCATCTAACAACCCTTAACTTACTTAGCTGCCGAGGCCCTTTGACTATCTGCCTTGGTTTCCGGGGCTGCTGTAACAAATTAATACTAACTGTGGGATTTGAAATGACAGCAATTTAGTCTCTCACGGTTCAGGGAGCCAGAGGTCCACAACCATGGAGGGTTGGATGATTCCTGCTGGGCTCCGGGAGAGTCTGCCGTCTGCCCCTTCACCTGCTGGTGGAGGCCAGCAGCCTTGGTGTTCCTTGCCTTGCAGCTGCGTCCCTCCCTTCTCTACCTCCGTCCTCACACGGCCGTCTTTCCTCTGTGTGTGTGTACATCAGTGTGTCCAAGTTTTCCTCTTTTAAGGACACTGTCGTCGGACTACAGTCCACACTCAGCACAACCTCATCTTAAACTGGCGACATCTGCAAAGACCCTCCTCCCAGTGGGGCCACATCCATGGGTTCTGTGTAGAAATGAATTTGGGGGAGACCGTTCAACCCCCTGCACCGTGTAAGATAACACTCACTCACTCCGGAGACGAGGTGCAGGCGTTCGGGGGCCAGTGTTCGATCAGTAAAGTGGGGATGCAGGTGTGCTGGTGACCTCGGGGTGCCCGTTCGCCAGGCTGCAGGAGGCCCAGAATTACGCACTACAATGCCTTCATTACCGGTTAGTCAGTGGACTTGAACAGGGTCCTCGGAAGCCAGCCCCTCTCAGGTAAGGACAGGAGGCCTTTCCCCTGCTTATCCATCCCGTGGGCTGCAAGGCAGCCGCCAGGACAGGTTTCCAGGCCAAGCTGCCTCCCCCGCCCCTCCATGGCAGGTTAACAGGTCCCGGGGCGGCGGGGAACGAGATGGGGGAGAACTGCCATCCTCTGAAGACCTGTGATGGTCCCTACTGCACGCCGTCCCCGCAGAACCAGCCTGGGGGGCATTGGGGGGCCCATATTCCGTGAGAAGAAACTTCCGTGAGCCTTCAGGAGAGCCCTGCCATGTCTGTGTTCACCCAGCTGGTGCGAGGGCAGGGGTGGTCCGATGCGCCCCTCCTGGGCTCCCAGCTCCAGGCTGCGAGTGGACAAGCCTGGCCTGCTTCGTCTTTGCAACCTTACCCCCAACTTAGCGTGCGCCTCCTGCGTGTGAGTGACCCTGAGCATAGCGGCAATGGCCTGCTGTGATAGTCCTCCTGGCCCAGGCGCTCTACAGAGCCGGCGGACCAGAGCCCGGGTGGCCCTTTATGGTTGAACAGATGAAAATTGGAACCTTAAGCCCTGCAGCTAGTAAGTTGCGGAGTCTAGATCTGAACTCAAGTCCTTGTGGTTTCAAAGCACTTGCTTGTTTTAATTTTTAATTTATTTTTACTGTGGTAAAATACACATAACAAAATCTACCATCTTAACCATTTTTAAGCATGAAGTTCAGTGGTGTTAAATAATTCATTATGTTGTACAAACATCATCACCATCCCTCTCCATAGATCTTTCATCTTGCAGAACTGAAAATCTATAGTCATTAAATAGTAGTAACCCCACATTCCATCTCGCCCCACCCAGCCCGTGGCAACCTCCATTCTATTTTCAGTCTATATGGTTCTGGCCACTCTGAATGTCTCATGTAAGTCCTTCTGGCTTTACCTTATTTCCTTAGCACAAACAGTGTCCTTGAGGTTCATCCATGTTATAGCATACGCCAGAATTTCCTTCCTTTTCAAGGCTGAATAATACCCATTGTATGGATAAGCCAGAATTTGCTTATCCATTCATTTGTTAATGAGTCCTTGGCTTGCTTCCATGTTTTAGCTCTTGCAAAAAGAAATATTGCTATGAACATGGGTATATAAATATCTCTTCAAGACTCTGCTTTAATTCTTTAAGCACATATGCAGAAGTGGAAGCACTGGGTCATATGGTAATTAACATGTTTAATTTTTAGAGGAACCACCATACTGGTATTTTGTTGTTTTTTGTTTTGTTTTCAATTACAATTGACAAAATATTACATTAGTTTCAGGTGTAAAGTATAGTGAGTACTGTGGGACCACCCTCATTCTGGCGACATGTGGCCATATCTGGAGGCATCTCTGGCTGCCACAACCGGAAGGATTCTGCTGGCATCTGTGGGTGGAGGCCAGGGGTGCTGCAAACGTCCTTCAGCGCACAGAACGGCCCACCAGTTACCCAGGCCAGGGCGGCCGGGCTGCGTGGGGAACCCCGGCCTGGGCTGTTTGCAGGAGATCTGTTTACTCTGTCCTGCTCACTTGAGTTCTTCGTGGCACTTACCACAGTCTGTAATTATCTGCATTGCTAACTTTTTTGGGGAAAAAAAAGCTTTGTATTGTCCTGAGTGTAAGTCCAAGGTGGCAGAGGCCTTTCCCGTCTTGTTTGCCGCTGTGCGCCCAGCGCCTGGCCCGATGCCTGGTGTATGCTAGGTGCCCGATGACAATCTGTTTTAGAGCGAATGCATAGGAACCTGTAATGAGTGCTTCTGTCTCTCCCATTTAGTCAGGTCTGCATAATGAAGCAAAATGAAATTTTGCTCCTTCAATTCAAATTAGATTGATATTAGTCCAATCAAGTCCTGTTGTTTGGGATATCATGTTAGATGATGACTGGCCATTTCAGAAGTGTTTATAAAACATATACTGAAAATTCACCTGCTTTCCACCTGCTGAAAAAGACTGAGACGAGAAACAGGGAAACCATAAACTGAGTATTTAATTTATAAAATGTCACCATTTTTATTTTGTCATTGTAAAGAGGTGTATCTCAACCAGATTGTAACAAAATTACCACAGCTTATTCCAAAAGAAAATTTTAATACAAGAAATTTTAGAAAATTAAACACATTTGTTTAAAAATTCTATCATGTAAACCTTAACATAAGAGGGTAGTTAAGATAACACTACACATTTCGGAGTGAACCTGCACACGTCTGGGCCTCACTTACATACAGGCGGTAGGCAGACCAGACTCCGCTGCGTTGCTGTCCTAGCCCCGCTGGCCGGGCCGCTGGGGCCCAGTCTCGGGGACTCGGCCAGGCTGACGGCCTCCGGGCCTGGGGTGAACATGGCTCCTGTGTTCAAAAGACGCCCTCGTCCAAGAAGTCAGTACCTGATGGGTTAAGCAGTGTTTTACTCAACGGCTGTGCCAGGGATGGTGAAGCTAAGGCTGCAGAGGTAAAGACGCTCTTTCTAGGATGAATCCTAGATAATTAAAAAAATCCTGATTAGCTCCCCCATCCCCTCACTCCTGGACACACATGTCCTCCAGGCTCATTTCTGGAGTGTCTAGTGACTGCTGCAAAGGTACAATCTGCCATCTAGTCCCCGTCCATGCCCCCAGTCCCAGGTTTTGCAAGGGCGTCTCCCGCATGGTCCATAGGTGGGAGAGTCAGCAAGGTGAACAAGGGGCCTCTCCCCTGTAGTTCCCGACGGCAGGAAGCAGCCCTGAGCAGACGTGGGGGGCGGTGGTAGCCTGGACAGGCCAGCTGTGGCGTTCCAGTTATGATGGGAGCACATTCGCATGCCAGTGAGAACCGACCCCTGGACTCAAAACACTAGCGAACCCAGCACATTCTACTGGTGCCACAATCACCCAGGCTACAGGCTCAACCATCTTCTAGAGAAACCAGACCGTTTTTTTGCTCCAAAGAAACTGGGTGGGTGGGTGGGTCGGAGAGCCCGCCCACTGTGGCCCTCAGGATTCAGAGACAACAGCAAGGGCCCTGGGCAGGAAATCAGCCCGCAGCCTGGCGCCAGCTGCGGGCTGAAAGGATATGCAGTCCTGAGAGGGACTGATGAGTGCGTGTCAGCAACGGGGGCTGAGTGCCGAGGGCTTTGTGCAGGGCAGGGGCTCAGCAGTGCCCCACCCTCACCCCCACTGGTCCCCTAGCTGGAGTTCTATTTTAGGGACATAATCACAACCGCGTTACAGAAACATGAAAATGAATTTTTTGGCACAGAAATTTTAGATAAAATATACAGTGCTACAATTGTGTAAAATTAGCACAGAAGCCAATCTGAACAGCAAATATTTAGTGAAACAATTCACAATATTTAAAAAATAATCGCTCCAAAAGACCTTGCACAGAAGCAGGCGCCTGCCTGCTGGAAGGGTCCTCGTTCTGCCGAGGCTCAGCCCGCAGGCCGGGGAGATGGTCCAGCGTGTGCAGCACTAGCCCGAGTGAAACACGCGGGAAAAGCCGAGACAGTTATTGCCTTTGTGGTTGGAGACTGAGTATGAGTTGTGGCCCGTGGGATACCTCTTAGCCAATCTGATGTTGTGGGCAGTGGGGCCCTTGGCAGGGTCTTTCTCGAGCAGGTCTGAGGCATGCCCATCCCCAGGACTAGGATGGAAACCAGCCTGTTCTTTGCCATCAGTTACCTGCGAAGGCCAGGAGACACTGGGGCTTGTAGAAAGGAGCCAGGATGAAGGAAGGAGTCTGGAGGGATGGGTTAGAAGGTGCCTGCTGGGGCCCCAGAGAGCAGGGCCTGGCCTCCACGGGGTGGGGGGACGGGGAGCAGGAGGCAGCTGGCATCTCTGGGCTGGGCTGCCCCATGTGAAGGTGAGTGGGTGGGGTGGGGGCCGAGGCCTGGAACCCTGTGATCTGGTCCTCAGGTGGGCAAACTGTCCCATGTGACACCAAGGAAAAAGGAGGCTACCAGCTGGTCTGGCCACAGCCCTGCTGCTGGGAAATGAGCCACGCTGCCTCTGATCAGCCTGGCTGGCTGGCTGTCTTCCTCCTCCTGACTCTGGCCCTAAACCTGGGGACTAATTATCAGGCCTCCAGGGCCGGCTGCCTCTTGCATTAGTTACAACGGTGTTATCCGTCCTAGAGATGTGACAGCTTTGATTGCCTCTGTTTTGTTATAGTCACAACACAACCTGCTGCCCCAGTAAAATCTCAGTGGTTATCAAAGGACTCATCTTAATAAGCTCTGAGCCAGAGCAGAGCCAAGTGCCGTAATTACACCTCGTCCTCAAGCCCTTGCCCACAGTCTCACAAGACGGTGTCCTGTCCTTACAACTCAATCAGTGCCCCTTCTGTAGCCCGGGAGCCCTAGGATGTGCCTGGCTATGGGGTGTTAAGTGTGACCTCCATGGACACGATAGCCACTCCTTCCCCAGGGGCCCGACTAGACAAACACCAGGTTGTTTTAACTGTGGTTCTGTGCTCTCTGCAATTGACTACTTGCCAGTAACGTGCGAGGTATGTGCCCAGGAACAAGAGTCCAGGAGCTGGAGCTGGCCATGCCAAGCTTGAGCAGTGGACTGACTGACTGCAGGCGCTGGCTGGGAAGGCTCACTCCCTGGTCAGGAGTGGCTCTGGTCTAGGTCTGCACCAGCCTTGGACTGCCTTCCTGGGAGCTTTGGGAGAGACATCTCTGCCCTTCCTGTTTGCTTCATCTGGGGGCAAGGGAGCAAGAAACAGATGAGATGCTGACAGAGACAGACCCTAGTGATGTTCTTGCTAAAGCTTCCTGTGAGCCGATAGATTGCCTTTGGTGAGAGGTCCTGGAATGGACTCTTGAGCCCAGTCTAGGCGTGGTCCTCGGGGTTCAAGGCCCTCTAGAGAGAGGCAGACCCCACTGGTTTCCCTCTGAACAGGGAGGGCTTCCTCTCTTAGCTGCCAATTTGAGGGCCACCAAAGAATCTTCTAATTGGACCAAGGACACAGGCAACTTTTATTGGTCCTTTCCACAGGGCTGTCTTTTCTGCTGAAGGGGCCCAGGGGGTTAAGTGGGTATTTCGAGGGCGGACCACAGCCTGCCCTCCAAACTGGGCCTTGGTTGAAGGGCAAGTGAATGTCCTGAGGGGGTGGCATTTAATGCACCAGCTCTCAGCCTGGACCTGTGACCCTGGGTAGTTTGTCTCCTTCAGGAACTAGGGGTCAGGGATTTACTGAGCAGCTGAGTGGATGAGATCACTGCAGAGCATTCTATGTGACTCCAAAATTAAGGCTTTGAGGAGCTGCTGCAATGTGCATGTCACATGTATGTCTGAGCTGAAATCAGGGGGTGGTCTGTGCGTTAAAGATGGTCCCAGGGTTTCTGCATGATCACAAAACAGGGGTGCAAAGAACAAGCCGCTGATGATGCCCGCAGGGCCCCTAGGAACGTGCTTTTACAGTCTTCACTTTGGGAGAGTAGGGCAAGTTTTCATGAATAGTTAAGCTTTTAAAAATGTGGAGGCAGGGTTTCTTCTTTTTAATTACAGGCTGGGTGTGGGTTTTCTTCTCCAGACTTAGCATTGGTCCTGTCGTAGCTGGGAAGCAGGTCTCTGGAGGGTTGGATGGAGAAGGCAAGGCCAGATTCGCGTGCAGATGTTTCAGGTCAGGTATCAGAAAGACTGGCCGACCAGAACCCTGGGCCCGGGTGGGGGCACTGGGGGGTGGGGGGTGGTTCCCTTCCACATCTAATACAGACAGAAAGGAGACGTCTCGGGGCAGGTCCCACTGTCCAGACAGGTGGTGCTGGGACAGTCTTTCAGTGGAGATCAAAGACCGACTTCCAAATGACTGAGGGGAGGAGACACAATGTAGGTGTCAGGACGCAGTGCAGTTTGCGCTCTGAGAGTCCTGATGATTTAGTCCAGGAGGCTCTGTTCGGAGCAGCCAGCCGCAGAGACCCAGGGGGCCCTGTGGACTTGGAACTGAAACAAAGGAAGAAAGAAACCATGTTGCCTTTCTAGGACACGGTCTCTCAGGTGCTCTAACCCCCATGTGCTGAGAGCAGGGACTCCTGCCACACACTCCCGCCTCCAGCCACGAGGGCAGCAGGCCCTCTGCTCACCGGGGCACGGCTCACCAGCTCTTCCGGCCTCTTTCTCGGCAGGGTTGTGCGTACATCAAGTCAGCTTTAGAACTGCCCTGAATAAGGTTCATGGGGCTGACAGAACACAGCATAACAACCTGCCAGGTGAGTCTTCCCAGAGCCTTTCTCTGTCCAGGAAATGCTCAGTGCGCACCTGCCTGTTCACCAAGTTCCGAGCTAACACATTGACACACCCCAGGGAGAGGGCGTGGGTCGCCCCCACTGACCCTCCGCCACACACACACGTCATCCGTCTATCTTCCCACGTTCTATCTTCCGGTTTAACTTATTCCTGTGTAGTCTGTTTCGCAATTTCGTATCTAGTTTTTGAATACTTCCTCCAGAAAATGCAAACTCTTCAAAATGGTCCTCAGCAGCTGAAGATGGCTCTTGCCCAAGGGGAAAGACAGTTCCATGATTCTGTGAACACCGGCAGACGCGCTGGTCCTGGGAGGGGTCTGGGGTGGGGGAAGCCTGTGGTGGTCGCCACGCTCTCATCTTTATCCTCTTCCCGCCTGTCAGCGGGGCCTGTTCTGAGACGGGGCACAGGGGACTCGGTCCAGGGCGCACAGGGCCCTGTCCCCACGAGAGCGTGTTGGGAGCAGGGGTGCACTACGGGCCCATGTCTTTAGGGTGTCTTTGGGTGGGGATGATCACGATCTGTGCAAGGCAGACACCGTGTCCACGTCCACGGAGAGCCACGGTGCAGCCATGGAGCTCTGGAGCTGAGTATGATGGCCGGAGGTCTCCCAGAGCCTTCTGCAGAGCTGAGTCTCTCACGGCCTTGAGGCCTCTTGGCTTGTGAGGCCATGGCCCCTGATTTCTGGACAGCCCAGACCTCTCTGACATGGGGTCACCAGGATGCTGCTAATGGTTCCGGCCTGGATGGGTGAGGGTCCCCCAAACCTGACAAAGGTGCATGTGGATCCAGGGGCTTCAGGCTTCCTACACAGGCTGGACCTTCCAGAAGCTAGTTGTGCGCCCAGAGCCACAGTTCAGCAGCACTTAATGGCTTCTTCACATGCAGGCCACCGCACCGGACCCCGGGAGGAGTGATGCCACAGAGCTGCTGCTGGCCGTGCTGGCGAAACTAAGGTGTCTGATGACCACTGGTGGAACGTAAAATGGAGAAGAGCAGCCCCCACCCCAACCTGGCCATGGGTTGTAGCAGGCAATTACATTAAAAGGAAAACAAAACAAAAAAAAAAAAGAGACTGTAACAGTCATTCTAATTCCCGTGTGGGAAAGAGTCAAGAGGTTGTTTCTGAGTGAATCTTCTGACCAAATGAAATACCAAAGTTGTGCATCTCAACCAGGGGGCTCCATGCCCAACCTGGTGCCCACCCTCCTGCTGGCCCCTGGGCTGGAGAGGAAACGGGCGACCCTTGCTGCTCAGGGCAGACCCTGGGGGAGTGGTGGGTGCCCGTGTGTCCGAGCCTGTCCAGCAAGGAGCCACCTTGCTCTCTGACTGACCAGTTTAATCAGGGTGTCATGTAACTGGTGGGGAAGGTGTGCTCTCTGGGGTTCACCAGGTCGGAGGTGGTTGTCACTCCAAGGTGTAAGGGGTCAGCTGCTGTGGCCACATTGGATGCAGAGTGGCCAGGGTAGAGGCAGCTGGCGCAGCACATAGGGCCCGAGTCTGGGATTCCATCAAGGTCAGAGGTCGCCGCTCTGGGGCTCCACATTGCGTGCCTCCCGGGGGTGACTGCGGGACAGCTTGGGGAAGCGGGAGGCCACTTTCGGCCGGCTGTTCTTGTTCAGTGGTTCTCCGGGCGTAACGTCACTGTAAGACAGGGCGGGGGAGAATCTGATTAGGTCGGGGTTCCAAATGCAGAGGAGTGGGAGCCCTGCCAGAGTGGCAAGGGCAGCGGTTGCCAGGTCTGACTGCCGAGTGCAGCATGGAGAAATTGAAAGTCCACATCGTTGTGTAAATGTTCTGTCTTTCAAAAGCACTCAAGCATCACTGTGGTCCAAGCTAGCTTGGGCCAGTAGCTTGGCTATATTTTAAGGCTATGAAAGAAGGCACAGCTGTGGCTTTCTCCCCCCATTTTCATTGATCTTTCAGCAAAGGCACATTTCAAAGCCATGGAAAAGAGGATGCTTTGGAGAGCACTGCAGGTGAAATCATAAAAGAGGTGCAGCACAAACAGGGTAGGGACCTCTCGTAGAGTTTAGCCTAGGAAAATAGTCGGGATGGATGCCAACGTCTGATTAGAAGGATGTTCATCACACGTGTGGAAGAGCCAAAACCAGGGAACAAAATGTGGGTACAGCACAGGGGATACTGAGCCTGGTTATCAATACCCATGTGGTGGGGATGCAGGAGCCTCTTAGAACAAAGGTGGGTGCATTTCCTGACCTGGGGTAACAGTTAAACAGAGTTGGGTGGGAGTAGGAGCTTCTGGCACGGGGCTGTTGGGCTGAAGCTCCAGGAAAAGAATAAAGATTAGATTGTAGAAAAAGGAAAAGAGGAGCAATGCTTCGATGACCTGTATTACAGGTGCCTCACCAGTCTGTAAGACATAAGTAAAATGGCTAGCAGCTTGGTTCTCAAAAGATCTTTGAATCTGTGCAGTTACTGGGGCAAGTGGGTCAGGACCCTGTGATGAGATGGGTGGAAGGGAAAAACCAGGCACAATGTTTTCTCTAGCAACACACAAGACGTGGAAAGCCAGGGAGAATGAGGCATGCCATTCAAAATGATGCCATTCAGAAGACAGCATGGCGCAGGCTTTTAGTGTTATAAGCAGGCCTCAGAGCTATGGCATGTCAGTGTGAAAAGGGGGTCTGACTGTATGTGGAAGGGAAAGTAGACAGTGGCGGGTGGATGGATAAGAATAATGCGAAGCGATGAGCAACAACAGTCATAGTTGATAGCATCACGCTGCTGAGTGACCAGACAGAAGAGAAGGCACAGGCACTTATGGACACTCTTGTTTGGCTAGTGTTTGGTACTCTCCTTTACAAATCATGCATGTTCTACATATTTTCTAAGGACAAGAATTAAAGTATTCTTTTATATTAAAAACAGTGGGGGTGTCTAACCTGGTCATGTATAGGGAAACCCTGAAGGATGTTCATTCCTCCAGCCCACAGACCTTTCCTGAACACACACGTGGCCCAGGCGCGGTCCTGGGCACTGGGGATACAACAGTGAACAACACAGGCTCTCCCAGGCCCTGTGGAGCTCACAGCTGGGGTGCAGAGGGATGTGAAAATGTCACCTGTTACAGTGACTAGGTTACACATGCAGCCAAAGCCTCCCTGAGGGGCAAGCGGTGGCAGGCAGTGCCTCAGAGAGGGCCATGTGGGGCTAAGGGCAGGCCTGGGTGAGGGGGACAGGGATGGGCCTGAAAGTAAAAGGCACAGTTGAGGGATCTCGGCAGGGAGTCCACAGCAGCTGCAGTTTAGGTGACTGGTGCCTGCTGGGTGGAGTGGACTGGAGGGGCCAGTGCTCTGGGCCCAGGGAGCACAAAGAAGCCTGGGCTGTGGCTGTGAACACAGGGGTGGTGGACTCGGTCTTATTTCCTATGGCTACTGCCACACACTGCTACACATTTAGTGGCTTAAGACAACACAATGTGCTGTCCTACAGTTCTGGAGGTCAGACATCCAAAATGAGTCTTATGGGGCTAAAGTCCAGGTGTTGGCCAGGTAGCTCCTCCCTGGGGGCTCAAGAGGAGAATCTGCTTCCTTGCCTTTTCCTGCTTCTAAGGCTGGTGGTCCCACCATCCTTAAAGCCAACAGTGCACCATCTTCAACTCTTTCTCCCTCTTCTAAGGGTTCACACTGGGCCTGCCTGGGCAATCTCCCATTTCCTGACACCCGTAATCACACCTTCAAAGTCCTCTTTGCCATGTAAAGGGACACCTTTACAGGCTCCAGGGAACAGATGTGGACATCTTTGGGTTCAAGATCTAACACAGACTTTTTTTAACAGCACTTATTATCTTTACTTCTTAACTTTGTATCACTGGCAGCTCGCAGCCCAATGAACCTTTGTGTATCTCTTGGTTTGAAAGGCTTTATTTAAAGCACAACAAAATATTTCATTGGCGGCTTATGTGCTGTTTGCATTTTCTCTTTTTTTAGAACTATTTTAAAAATTTATTTTTCAATTATAGTTGACAAAAAATATTATATTAGGTTAAGGTGTAAAACATAATGCTTAGACATTTATATACCTTATGAAGTGATCAGCTGATAAGGCTAGTCCCACTTGACACCACACATACTTATTACGGCATGATTAACTACAGTCCCTGTGCTGCACTTTAGCCCCACGACTGTTTTCATGGCTGCTAATCTGTACTTCTTACCCCCTTCACTTTTTCCACCCAGTCCCCCCAAGATCCCCCTCCCTCTCTGGCAACCATCGATTTGTTCTCTGTATCTATGAGTTTGTTTTGTTTGTCCATTTATTTTTTATTGTTCAATTACAGTTGTCCCAATTTTCCCCACATTGCTCTCCCCTGCCCTTCCCACCCCCTGATGCCACAGCCAACCACCACCCCATTGTCCACACCCATGTATCCTTTATTCCTGTTTGTTGACTTGTTCCTTCCCTGTTATCCCCCTCTGGTCATTGTCAGTTTGTTCTTCTTTTTTTTTTTTTAAGATTTTACTTATTTTTAAATATTTTATTTATTTATTTTTAGAGAGAGGGAAGGGAGGGAGAGAAACATCAATGTGTGGTTGCCTCTCATGCTCCCTACTAGGGACCTGGCCTGCCACCCAGGCATGTGCCCTGACTGGGAATCAAACCAGTGACCCTTAGACCAGTTTGTTTTTTATTTCAATGTCTCTGGTTCTATTTTGCTCATTCGTTTGTTTTATTGTTTAGGTTCCAGTTGTAGGTGAAATCATATGGTATTTGTCTTTCACCACCTTGCTTATTTCCCTTAACATAATGCTCTCCAGTTCCATCCATGCTGTTGAGAAGGGTAGGAGCTCCTTCTTTCTTTCTGCTGTGTGGTATTCCATTGTGTAAATGTACCACAGTTTTTTGATCCACTCATTTACTGATGGGAACTTAGGCTGTTTCTAGCAGTTGGCTATTGTAAATTCCACTGCTATGAACACTGGGATGCATAAGGTTCTTTTGTATTAGTGTTTCAGGATTCTTAGGGTATAATCCCAGCAGTGGGATTGCCAGGTCAAAAGGCAGTTCCATTTTTAGTTTTTTGAAGGAATTCTGTGCTGTTTTCCACAGTGGCTGCACCAGTCTGCATTCCCACCAACAGTGTACTGGGGTTCCCTTTATTCTACAACCTCGCCAGCACTTGTTTGTTGATTTGCTAATGATGGCCCTTCTGACTGGTGTGAAGTGGTATCTCACTGTGGTTTTAATTTGCATCTCTCTGATGGCTAGTGATGTTGAGTGTCCTTTTGTATGTCTCTGGGCCCTCTGTATGTCCTCCTTAGAGAAGTGTCTGTTCAGGTCCTTCACCCATGTTTAAATTGGGTTGCTTGTCTTCCTGGTGTGGAGCTGTGTGAGTTCTTTATATATTTTGGAGATCAAACCTTTGTCTGAGATATCGCTGACAAATACGTTTTCCCATATGGTTAGCTACCTTTTCATTTCACTGATGTTTTCTTTAGCTGTGCAGAGCCTTTTAATTTGATTAGTCCCCTTTGTTTATTTCCTTAATATCCCTTGCCCTGGGAGATGTATCAGTGAAAACATTGCTGTGTTGGATATATGAAATTCTCCTGCCTATGTTCTCCTGTAGGATTTGTATGGTGTCACACTTATATTTAAGTTTTTGATCCATCTTTAGTTATTTTCATGTATAATATAAATTGGTTGTTTTGGGGTTTTGTTTTGTTTTTAGATACATATATAAGTGAAATAATAATGTATTTGCCTTTCTCTGCCTGACTTATTTCACTTAGCACAATACCCTCTAGGTCCATCCATGTTGTTGCAGATGGTAAGATTTCATTATTTTTATGGTTGAGTAATATTCCATTGTCCCACATCTTCTTTATCCAATTTTCTATTGATGGATACTTACAGGTTGCTTCCAAATCTTGGCTGTTAATAATGCTGCAGTGAACAGAGGGGTGCATATATCTTTTTTGAGTTCATGTTTTGGATTTCTTTGGATAAATACCCAGAAGTGGGATGCTGGGTCATAAGGGAGTTCTATTTTTAATTTTTTTGAGGACCCTCTATACTATTTTCCATAGTGGCTGCACCGATTTACGATCTCATTAATAAACACAAGGGTTCCCCTTTCCCTACATCCTTTCCAACATTTGTTGTTTTTTTATTTATTGATGATAGCTATTCTGAAGGGTATGAAGTGGTATCTCATTGTGGTGTTAATTTGCATTTCCCTGATGATTAAATGTTGAGCATCTTTTCATATGTCTATTGGTCATCTGTATGTTCTCTTTGGGTAGAGGACCTGAACAGACATTTTCCCATTTTTAAAATCAGATTATTTGGGGGCTTTTTTGTGTGTTAAGTTGTAGGAGTTGGCGAATATCTTCTTCCATTCAGTAGGTTGTCTTTTTGTTTTGTTGATGGTTTTTCCTTTGCTGCACAGACTGAGACTTGAATAGGAAGTTAAATGATGAGATTACAACTAGTAGAAAGTATAAATGAGAAATAAGAAAAATACTTGTATAATAAATATCTCACTGGTCCATAATGCTTTTAAAAAACAAACCTAAGATTAAAGCTCACTCTCATGTCTCCATGTCTTCAGGCTCCATGCCAGGGCTTCCTGATATGGGTCCTGAGGCCTGCTGGGCTCTGTAGGGGTAGACAGAGCT